TTCCCCAAATATCTTCATGAAATTTCCATAAATCTATTGATAACACAAAACAAAAAATTATGATTTTGAATGTAAGAAATGTAGATCAATATAAAATTAAGCATTCAAGAAAATAATCACAAGATATTAAAAAAATGAAAAAATATACCTATTTTTGCCATATTTTTTAAAATTTGAAAAATATTAAAAAAATAATGGTTCACACTTGTTCTCTGCAAATTTTTGCAAATCTAGCACTCTAGGAATGAGATTTAGAGTTCTAGAGTCATTTGGGGGGTGAAAGAAGCATTATTTCAGGGAAAAGAAGATTGTTTTCCCCTTTATTTTTTCTTTTCCAAATTTTGGCCGTATCTTTTTCGTCGATACGCTCCAATACGCCCTGATACACCCCCGATATGGGTCCGATGCACATGAAAAAAGATGAGATGCCCGATTTCTATACGTATTCCGTATCTATTTTTCAAAGATACGATATAATATGCCCCATATTGGGCATATCGTACCGAAATTTTAAACCTTGCTTATGGGCAACTAAAATGGACAAAAAGACATTTTGTTTGGAAAATGGAATAAAGAATGCATGTTCAAATCAAATGCAGAGCTTAGCATAAGAAATATGGAACATATAAATGCAACTGACCTAATGAAATTAGATCAGAGGATAATCAAAGAAGAGGAAAATATCTGGGTCCAAATCACAAGAAAAAAATATTTGAAAATAAGGAATTTTTTGCTTTTGAGAGTGAAACTCTAATATATATATATATATTATGAATTTGTTTGGGAAAAATTTATCATTTATTCTTGATATTTTGAAAGAATAGAAATGATAAATTTTCTATAATAAATGTTATAGTCTTATAGACTCTCTTAGATTATCAAGAAAATTTTGAAGAACACCAGCCACTATCTAGAGGCCCCGAACTACCATGAAATGGAGAAGTGATGAAAGAGAAAATTAAATTGGATCAAATGGGCTCCTCCAAATATAAATGAAGTAAAAGTAAATCTTGTTGCATCAAAATGAGGTGATAATAGTTGTGCGCATAGATGAATATATAGCCCGAAACTATCAAGGAGAGATTATCAAAATTGTTTTAGACTAAATTGGGAAATCCTCAAATATTAGTAACTGAATGTAGAGGTGTAAAACGGGTCGGGCCGTGGTGTGCTTTATGGGCAGCCTGTGCAAGTCGTGGATCATGTTGGGTTGTGCTTCCATCCTCTAGGATACTTCAGTGGGTCGGCCTGACACAGCCTGCAGCACGAGCCCATGTAGGCCCATGGCATGGCACGGGCTTAGGCTGGGCAAGCTACAAGTCATGTCAGGCTGGGCTACGGGTTGGGCTTTGGGCCTAGGCCAAATCAGGCTAGTCTTTTTTTCTTTTTGTTTTTTTGAAATTTTAATTTTTTTTCATTTTTTGCTAAGTACAGTGTCAAAGTGATAGAAACTTTGGAAAAATACAACTTTAACAAAAAATACTTAACAAAATAAAAAATAGACAACAAATTGGAAAAAATAGAAATTTTATTTCATTTTAATTTGAACAATATAATGGATGAATGAAATGTTGGAAATAGAATAAAATATAAAAGCAATATATAAATTGAAAATAAAAAAGTACATTATTGAAAAAATAACAAATAATTTAAATAAAATTTAAAAACAAAATTTACAATAATTTTAAAAATGTTATACAATTATTGAATTTATACAAAAAATATTGATTTCATCATTTTTCTTCAAGCTCCACCTGCATCTCCTTGACTTTGATCATCTCCTTCTAGTAAAACATCGAGTGAAGTGTCATGCCCTCCTTTATCTTGCAATCTATCATCAACATACATTCAGCCAATCTTTTAATCAAATGCTTATCATCTCCAAATTTTCACCATTCATGTAGCTTCTCTTGTTGTCCAACACCCTAGTACCTGCAATAAAATAAGACTCCAATGAAACTATAGACACTAAGGGTTAGTAGATCATGTGCCATAGTGGCAAAAGCTGGATAATTTTTTTCCATGTTCACTCCACCTAGCTAAAATATCAAAATTATTTAGTTCTTCCGAATCGAATGATTCACCTAAATTAGAAAAAGTTGCTTGTAAATAAAAATTAAGTTCAACAAATTAACTTGTTGTGAAGTGGCAGTAGATTTTTGCCTTTTACTTATTAGAGACCAATTTTTTTCTTTTCCACTACTAGAACTAGATGTTTTAAAAGTTGAAGTTTCACTTGTACAAGTTGCAATTTTCCTATGCCCTATCATTTGAGACTCATAGAAAATGTACATCTCGAATAATAAATTATTCATTTCTTTATTTTTATTTCCAATTCCAACATTCATATTTTCACAATATGATCCAAGTAAAATATCTAAACCATCTTCTTTAATCTTAGGATCTAATATTGTAGCTAAGCAATAAAGATGAGAAATTTTCTACCAATATTTTTAAAATTTATTTTCCATTAATTTGACAATATTTTCAAATTGTGGATTTTTTTTCTATATTTTGCAAAAAAAAACCCATTAATCATAAATAAATTATTAACTAAATTACAATTATTTGGGTAATAAACATCCAAAAATTCATTAGTTATATCATAAAAATTTTGTAAAATATATTTTATACAAATTGTCATTTCCCAATCTTCTTCAAATATAATATCATGTGTCATTTTTGCATTATCAAAATTAGTAAGAATTTGCTTGTAAGCAATAGAACTTTCTAACATATAATAGGTAGAATTCCATTCATCTTGAATATCTAATAGAATTTTTTTATATTTTAAATGTTTTCTTGTTCTACAACTTCTAATATACAATATAAAATTTCTAATTTTAAAAATATAATGAGAAATTATATTTAAAGCATCATAAACAAATAAATTTAAGATGTGACATGTACATCTAATATGGAATAATTTATCATTTAAACATGATTTTAATTGAGATTTTAAAACATTTATTGTTGTATCATTATTACTAGCATTATCAAAACTAATAGAAAAAAGTTTATTTTCAATTCCATAATTATGTAAAGTATTTAAAATACTTTCAGCGATTATTGGGCCAATATGTAACCATTCAAACCTAGTAAAACTTACAATTCTTCTTTATAAAAGTCAATTTTCATCAATAAAATAACTAGTAGCACAAATATAACTTATATTATATTTAAGTCAAAATATCAAAAGCAATTGCAACTTTAGAAGAAAGATTTGATAAAATAGAAATGAATTTTTGTTTATATGAATAAAAAATTTTCAAAGCATCTGATCTAATAGTATTTTTAGAAGCTTTTTTAAACTATGGATTTACAAAATGTTGTAAAAATCTTTCATCTTTAGCTATAAATATTGTTGTTCAACATATACAATATATTTTGCTAATTCCTACATCATTTTTTCTTGAAAATATTTAAAAGTACCAAAAAAAAAAAAAACCCACGCCCAATTTGTGTTTGTGATGTTTGTTTCTGTTTTTCTTATTCATTTTTCTGATGACTTAGAATATGTTTGCCCAAGTAGTCAATACCACCCTTGCTGCTATAATTAACTAAAGTCATTCATACATTTAGAACAAACGGTTCTTTTTCCTTGCCCTCAACTTCTTCTATGATAAATACTTCCTAAAATGGGTTAATCAACTTACTACCATTCTTTTTCTTTTCTCTAGTGGTAGTACTAGGATGGGAACTCTAACAATATTAGTAGTATCCATATCAATGCTAATACTATCATATTGTCATTGAACATCGTCGACATTGAACATGTTGGGAAATTGGTTTCAAGAGGAGCTTATCATTTCAAAAAAACTCTAAAAAAAATAAATTAATTTAATTGCAACTATTCAGACTACCAATTCAGAATCTCAATTTGATTTCAACGGTTGAAGCCTCCAGTCCTCCCAATTGCCAACTTGAAATACTTGAGCAAGCCTTATTCTTGTTGAAACTTGAATAAAGTTGAAAATTGGACAACAGAGAGAGTATGGGAATGTGTATAAAAGAGTATGAGAGATGAGAGAATGTGAGAATTGGTGTAATGAGAATGATGGAGGATAAGGGTATTTATAGGTATTGGAAATAATTCAATTGTCCAAAATACCTTGAAAAGGTAGCTATTTTTTAGTTGTTAAAATGAGTACTTTGGTCATTATAAAGTCAATTATCACTTTATTCAAATGCCTCTCCAAATTAACTGTTATATAGTTGTTGGGGGCATTATTATCATTCTTTATCCCCTCTAAAGCCAAAATACATAAATTCCTCACTAACTATTTATTTATATCTGTTGTGGTATTTATGTAAACCCCCCCACACATAGACTAATTTTTGCTTTTTTTTTTTTTGGAGGGTGGGGGGGTGCAGTCCTTCTGGCTAGTTTCCTACGAGCGGGTCGTGCTCAACCCACTACAGGCCTGTGTGTCGAGCCGTGCTGCATGTTGGGCCATGCTGATACACAGGCTGTGGGCGATACAACCCGCTCAATCATGTCATAACGTGTCGGCCCATGGTCTTGCCGTCTTGGAAACCCAAGTCTAGCACGGTCCACATGCCATTGTGCCAAGCAATGTCGGGCCAAAACCAAAATCGCATGGGGGCGGCATGGACCAATTTACATCTCTACTGAAATGCGAGCAAGCCTTGAGACTCTAACATGTTAACAATGAAGTTAGGAGTTAGCTAGTAGGTGACTCAAATACTACAATAGAGGTGCTTTGAGGCTTGAGCAAAGTTACGTGAAAATGCTGCACAACGGAGGAATGTAAAAAGAAAGGGTAATTGTCCAAAACCCACCATCACTTTTTCTGAATTATCCAAAATTCACCATAACTTTTCAAAACGTCCAAAACTCACCATGTCAATGAGATTTTATTTTCTAAAACTCACCATCATTTACAACACCGTTAAACTTGAATAACCCAAAGTGTCCACGTCAGCCTAAATGCATAATTCATGACTAAACTGCCCCTAAATGGTCAAGAGTGTCGACGTCAAAAACCAGTATCAAAGTAGTGATCATATACATGGCCAGGTGCATCGACGTTGGTGCCCATGTGGGTAGGCAACTTCACCTTGGAGATGTTAGCAAGGGAACCATTCTTCATGCTCTTCGGGAGCCACAGAAATTGGCTTAACCCATCCGATGAACCCCAAGCAGGCATTTCCTCTCTGTACCTATGACTTATATCAAAGATCCTTCCGTCATCGTACACCTCCCTCCTCACAGGGACTAAATCGTCTCTTGGTGAGCACGAACTGGAATTGTCGCCGTAAGTCGGTGGATAGGCGTAGGCTAGAGATACGATGGAAAATGTCATAATTACAGTGCTGAGAAAGATCAGCAGCGCCAGGGGAGCTATCGTCCTAGTTGCCATGATGCCGTTGCCTTTTTGCTGGGAAGTGAAATCGAAGCAGAGCAGCGAATGACTGATTAAGTGGGGAACTATTTCACTTATCTTCAAAGACTTTTGGTGGGAGTATTTATTTGATTTGCTTATGCATTCTGAATTTCTGATTCGAATCGAATTCCATTCGAGTTGATTCCATTCCAAATTCTAATTGACAAAAACTTCAAATAAATCCAGCTAAAGAAAAATACAAAAGTTCGGGTTGGACCCACACAACTAGCAGTCTAATCACCCTCAACCAAGGTATCTGGAACGTTAAAAAATGTATCAGATGATAAGGATTAGACTCTCAATGGAAGCCCAGAAATTGCGTTTCCAGATTTATCTTGGGCTTATCTATGTTATCCTCCATATTTTATCTCTTGTACTATTAGACTTCTATTAGGACTCATCTACTGGTATATTTCTTCCACATGTATATAGGATGTATTCAATTGAAATCTATATAAACACACCCACTAGGCATAAGCCGGATTGTGAACTTTTCTCTCAACCCTCAACTATTTTATGGTATTAGAGCTATATCAGACCTACATCAAAACACCATGTCAACTCCATCCATTACCCAATCCATGTCATCTGAGAGTCAAGCTATTACCCAAAGCGGAAGGATACTAAATCTTCCAAACACCTTTGTTGTTCATCTAGATGGAACCAATTATTTGCTTTGGAAGCCATCCATTCTTCCAGTTTTGAGAGGAAACCATTTATTAGGTTTCGTTGATGGCACAGAAAAATGTCCGCCCAAGCAAGGCAACCACACTGACACTACTGAAGCATCTATTGAAGTCACTATAAGCTCGGCCTGTTGAGACTGGGTGCAACAAGACCAACTATTAATGGGTTGGTTGCTTATGACACTTATTGAACCGGTACTTGCACAGGTTATTGGGTGCACCTCCTCCCGATCTGTATGGATAATCTTGGAGCAGTTGTATGCTTCAAAATCAAGAGTTCGGGTCATGCAACTTCATTTTGAATTGCGTTGTTTTAAGAAGGGAGCTCTCTCCGTTCCTCAGTATCTTCAAAAAGTAAAGAATCTCACAGATAATCTTATAGCAACAGGTGAGCCTCTCTTTGACACTGATTATATTCTCACTATTCTTAGTGGGCTCGATTTAGAATATGAATCATTTATTACTGCTGTCACTACACGAGTTGATGCCTACACAGTGGAGGACGTCAAAGGTATGTTACTTAATCAAAAAATTCGATTGGGTCAAATCAAAGGCTCTCATGGTTCTCTTGATTCAAATTACCCAGTTGCTAATATGGCTGTTAGGGGKAATGCTAATTTCAACAACATAAATGATTCTCATAATTTTTCTAAGGGCAACAAATCTTACCCTCAATCTTCTAAACCTCAATACAAGTGTCAAATCTGTTGGGGTAAGAATCACTCTGCCTTTAAGTGCAAGTACAAGTTTGACAGGAACTTTGAAAGAGAAAATTTTAAACAACAAAAGCAAGCCTTTCATGTATCTACTGACTCATCATGTGGTGAAGCTTGGTACCCTGATTCAGGTGCAATGAACCACCTTACAGCCGATCTTGCCAATTTGAATGTGCATTCAGAATACACTGGCCCCGATCAACTTCGTATACGCAATGGATCAGGTTTGCCTATAAAACATATTGGCTCTTCTATTATTCCTTCTTTAGATCGAAATTTGCATTTGATAAATATTTTGCATGCTCCTTATATTACCAAAAATTTATTATTAGTTGGTCAATTTTCGACAAACAATAATGTCTATTTTGAATTTCATCCTCATGTCGTTTATGTGAAGGATCTTCTCACCAAGAAAGTTCTTCTCCAAGGAGTGAATAAAAGCGGCCTTTACAAGCTCTCCAATTCACATAACATGGATACACATTCACCATTTGCAGCTAGAGAGCGCACAAATATTGATGTTTGGCATAGGAGATTGGGCCATCCCGCACCTAAGGTGGTTCGTTCTATTATTAATAGATTTTGTTTACCAATAGATTCTCATAATAAGTTAGAATTTTGTGGTGCTTGCCAAATGGGCAGAAGTAAAAAATTACCATTTTATTTTGATTCTACTACAATACGTTCACCATTAGAGGTTGTTTTCACAAATGTTTGGGGGCCTGCCCCGGTAGCTTCTCCTCATGGCTATGGATATTATATTCTGTTTGTTGATGGTTTTAGTCGTTATTGTTGGCTATATCCTATGTCTCACAAATCTGATGCCCTCTCTATATTCATTAACTTTAAGCGCCTTGTTGAGAATTAGCTTGACACAAAAATTAAGGCCATTCAATCTGATATGGGTGGTGAGTTTGTTAAGTTTCATGAATTTATTCAATCCGAAGGCATTGCTCATCGATTTTCCTGTCCCCATACACAAGAGAAAAACGATAGAGCTGAGCGTAAGCATCGACATATTGAAGCTATATCACTGACCTTACTTTCTACGGCATCCATGCCCAAACATTTTTGGCTTGATGCCTCTCAAACTGTTGTTTATTTGATGAATCGAATACCTAGTGTTGCAGTAAATGGTACATCTCCTCTTGAATGTTTATTTCACAAGAAACCAAATCATTCTTTCTTAAAAAATTTTTGGGTGTCTATGCTTCCCATGCATGCGGCCATATAACAAGGACAAGCTGGACTTCAGATCTATACCATGTGTATTCTTGGGCTATAGCCTCCAACACCATGGCTATCGATGTCTACACATACCCACTGGGCGCCTTTATATCTCTCGTCATGTAGTGTTTTCTAAAGAATCATTTCCATTTGCTTCTATGCAACCAACTGCAGCTCCTGTTAAATCTTCTTTTGTATTATTAGATGGGCCCTCAATTGTTACTTCTCAGCCCACTGCTCACAAAATTACTACTATTCCATCCACAAGTGAGAAGGCCCACATTCAGGATACTGCTATGGCCCACAACACACCCTCTCATTCTGATCACTTGACTACAGTCATACCCCTTATTTCCAGAGGGCTTGACCCCCTAGTTCATTTGATAATCATGCAAATATCACCTTTGACCCTCCCATCAATCCACTCAATACACATCATATGCAAACACGCCTCAAGAGTGGTATACGAAAACCCAAAGTATATTTGGCATCTAAACATCCTATTGAGGCTTCAATTGAGCCCACCTGTTATTTTGAGGCTGCCAAACATGCCCATTGGCGCCAAGCAATGGAAGATGAATTTAATGCTCTTTTAGGAAATGAGACTTGGACCTTAACTCCTAGATAGCCTCACATGAATGTATTGGGCTCTAAATGGGTTTATAGGATCAAGAGACGAGCTTATGGGTCTATTAACCGTTACAAAGCCCGTCTTTTGGCCAAAGGGTTTCATCAACAAAAGGGCCTTGATTACTTTGAAACATTTAGCCCAGTAGTTAAGCCCACCACCATAAGAACTATTCTTAGCCTTGCCATCTCAAATCATTGGGCTTTACACCAATTAGATGTGCAAAATGCATTTTTGCATGGGTTTCTTGATGAAGATGTTTTTATGGATCAACCAATGGGCTTTAAGGATCCTACATATCCAGATTATGTATGCCATCTCAAAAAGTCTCTCTATGGGCTCAAACAAACCCCACAGGCCTGGTATCATTGTCTCTCACAATATTTATTGAAGCTGGGCTTCTTCATCTCAAAGTTTGACTCCTCACTATTCATACAACGAACCAAAGATGTCACATTACTAGTGCTTGTGTATGTTGATGACATCATTGTCACTGGGTCCAAGCAAACCTCTATTAACTCCCTCATTTCATCTCTGGCTACGGAGTTTGCTCTAAAAGACTTGGGCCCCCTCAACTATTTTTTAGGCATTGAAGCAACTAGGACCAAATCTGATCTCTTTCTTTCCCAACACAAATATGTACATAAGCTTCTTTGTCAGGCCAATCTAGATGGCATTAAACCAATATCCACTCCCATGGCGTCATCATGTAAGCCATCCATATATGATGGCTCACTTTTCCCAAATGTCCCTTTATATCGCACCATTGTTGGTGCTTTACAATATCTTACAATCAATAGGCCAGAAATTGCATACTCTATTAATAAGGCTTGTCAATTTATGCACAAGCCCACAACTACTCATTGGTCTCTAGTGAAACGAATTCTACGCTACTTGAAGGCTATAATCAATCATGGGTTATGCTTCACACCGAGCTCTTCTTGTAGGCTTCATGCCTTTTCTAATGTTGATTGGGCAAGATGCCCCGATGATCGACAATCTCATGGTGGCTACTACATCTTTCTCGGTGACAACCTTATTTCTTAGGCTTCTAAGAAACATAGCACTGTCTCAAAATCCAACACTGAGGTTGAATATCGTAATGTTGCCATTGCGACATCTGAAATCCTTTGGTTATGTTCGCTACTATACAAAATTGGGGTTTCTCCCTCCTCACCTCCAATTTTGTGGTGTGATAACATTGGCGCCACTTATTTAGTGGCTAATCCTGTCTTTCATGCCCGTACAAAACATGTAGAAATTGATTATCACTTCGTACGGGAAAAAGTATCATCCAAACAACTTGAGGTTCGCTTTATCTCATCAAAAGATCAGGTAGTCAATATACTTACTAAGTCACTGCCTTCTCAACGGTTTGCTTTTCTGCGATCCAAACTTCGAGTTGCAAAACCCCTCTTCAGTTTGAGGGGGGCTGATAAGGATTAGACTCTCAACGAAAGCCCATAAATTGCGTTTTCAGATTTATTTTGGGCTTATCTATGTTATCCTCCATATTTTATCTCTTGTACTATTATATTTCTATTAGGACTCATCTACTTGTATATTTCTTCCACATGTACATAGGATGTATTCAATTGAAATCTATATGAACACACCCACTAGGCGTAAGCCGGAGTGTGAACTTTTCTCTCAACCCTCTATTTTATCAGAAAGGTAATTTTAAGATGAAGGTACGAGAGAAGCAGCGACCGGTGAGAAGTTGCGGACTATTCTTCTTCTCAGATGCATCTTGTTCTTCAAGTTCTCAAACAAAGGGGAAGCAATGGTCGATGGAGGAAGAAAGTAATGGCTAATTAGACCTGTTCATGGGCCGGCTCGGGCCAGGCTTTTACTCTTCATTAATGGAAATATGTTAGGCCTGAGCCCAAGCCCGGCCCGACCAACGGGCCTACAACTTGGGCCCAAGCCCGACCCTGATAAAAAGCCCGAAGCTCGAGCCCGAGCCCGAAGCCCGACCTAATAAAAAAAATAGAAATTTTCCCTATTCAATAATCAATATAAATTAGAATTTATTTACATTAAAAAAAGAATATAAATTCAAAATTGATTTACATTAAAAAAAGAATATAAAGAAGGGAAAAAGGATGTGGAGAAGAAGGGTTTGGCTGGAAAAATAAGGGAAAGAGGTGAAAAAAATAGGGGTATTCGACTAAGGTTTTTAGGTTTAATTATAGGTCGGGTCGGGCCGGGCTCGGGCTGAGCTATTTTGGCAAATCCCGAGCCCAGCTCGAATTTATTGCGGGCTGGGCTTTTTGGCCCGAGGTTAAGCCCGCGGGCCCATATACCTGTTCAAGCCCGTCCGGGGGCCGGGCCGGGCCGGCCTATCGGGCCACCCGACCCATGAACAGGTCTATGGTTAATGCTTGTGTTTTGGGTTGAAGAATGATGGGGTAATTTTGGTATAATGCAAAATGGACCGAGTGTAATGAAGGGTAAAATGGTAAATTAATGATGTCCATTAGTTAGGTTATCGTTATCTCACTGACGTGGTGAGTTTTAGATGTTTTGAAAAGTTGTGGTGAGTTTAAGAGAATTCAGAAAAAGTGATGGTGGGTTTTGGATAATTACCCAAAAAAAAGAAGAGAAAGAGAGAGAGCAAAGTTAAAAAAAAAAAAAAAAGAACAGAAAAGTATGGACAGGCAAAACCCCCCACTCTGTACATCAATGCCCACCCGTGAATTAACATCAATTCCGAGCTGACACCCACCCCAACTGTACTTTGGGACTATGAATTCTGACGCTGGGCTGAACTGTCATTCTCCCAAAAGAGAAGAGAGAGAGAGACCAAGCAGTGGATTGGAATGCAAATGAAGGTCATACGAGAAGGCTTTCTCTAGTGGTTAGGAACTTGGATAATGCTTTTTTCAATGCAATGGACAATGGCTTTTTTTGGGCTTTGTTAGTGATTTTCTCTTGCTATTAAAAATTGTAATGGGCTAAAGCTTTGTTCGGATTGGGCCGTGGTCAACACGCCACGTTTGATTTAATTTGATATGAACACATCACAGGTGATTTAATTTGATAAAGATACACCACATCACATGTGATTTAATTTGATATGGGTAGATCATATTATGGTTGAGGGTAAGTGGTTCGCATAGGATTGGAATTGGAATCTGAATCACCTATTCCCAATTCTTGGTTGGTTCAGTTGGGAACTGGAATTGCATTTTGATTATTGCTATTTGGTTCATTTGGAGTTGGAATTGTAATCAATTGAAAATTTTCAATTTTGTATTAGTTTATTTATTATTACTTTATTAATATTTTATGAATATATAATTGCTTTAGTAGTTTTTAATAATTAATAATTTATATTTATCGTTAACTTATGAATATTTTATTAATATATTATTATTATTATTATTATTATTATTATTATTATTATTATTATTATTATTATTATTATTATTATTATTATTATTTTCGTATTAGTTTATTAATATTCTATTATTTATGTTTTATTATTTTAAAAATATTTTATTATATTTTATTCTTTTATTATTACGTTAGTTGTATTATATTAATATTTTATTTGTGCCTCGCTATTATTATTATTAAATAAATGGTATATTTGCTTATTATTATTAGTTTATTAATATTTTAAAGTACTATTATTTTATTACTATTTTACTAAATTTTGTATAATTATTTATTAATATTTTATTATTTTATTAATATTAAGATTTGAGAATCTTTTTATCATGAATTCTTTACTTATTAACAAACTCTAAAATGGAAACCCCATTCCCTAGGGGAGCCTAGAATGGCCATTTGGGAAAATCCCATTTCACAAATAATGGAAATCATAATCTCATTTGGACCAAATGAACGATTGGAATCGAAAGCAACATCACTGAAATAACCATGGCCCATTAGCCCTCCCACGAATAGGTGTCAATTGGACAAATTTGGTCCAACCCGATCCAATCTAATGTGAATCCACTTATAAATGAACAGGACCCAATCCAGTCCAAATCCAATCCAATCCATTAAAATGTAAATGGATTTGATTGGATCCAATCCAAACCAAATGAAATATAAAAAATTATATAAAAGTACTTTGATAAAAATATTTTCATAAAAGTGCTTTTACAAAAGCACTTTATTGAAAGTACTTCGGAAAAGTGCTCTTGTAAAAGCACTTTTCGAAAAGTACTTCCATAGACTTCTATAAAAGTACTTTCGTAGTACTTTTGTAAAAGTACTTTTATAAAAGTGTTTTCGTAAAAATACTTTTATAAAAGTACTTCCGTAGAAGTGTTTTTATAAAAGCGTTTTCATAAAAGTACTTTTGTAAAAGTGCTTTCGTAAAAGTTATTTCATAAAAAGTGATTTTCTAAAAGTGTTTCCATAAAGTGCTTTTATAAAAGTACTTCCGAAAAAGTTTTTTTTTGTAAAAAGTGCTTTCGTGTAAAAGTACTTTTGTAAAAATACTTTTGGAAAAGTGCTTTTATTAAAGTGGTTTTGTAAAAGTGATTTTATAAAACTACGTCTGTAAAAGTGCTTTCATAAAAGTACTTTTGTAAAAATGCTTTCATAAAAGTATTTTTATAAAAGTGCATTTATAAAAATGTTTTTGTAAAAGTGCTTTCGTAAAAATACTTTCATAAAAGTGATTTTATGTTGTTTTTAGTTTTGATTGATTTCAAATTGGACAAGAGTTTGGCCTCATGATCGGATTATTGGAAACTCAGTTTAGGTCTAATTCAAACCAATATGAATATGGGCCAATTTATTTTGGATTGGCCCAATCCAATAATTATAATGAGCCGTCCAAATCCGATTTGATAAGATTTGGATCGGATTGGATCCAAACCAAAATTGGTCGATTGACACCCCTACACCCAGGTAAACCTGGCAATTGGGTTGGTGGGTCAGGTTTGGTTGGGTCAAGACACTTCGGGCTAATTTCGGGTTGGGTTAGATTTCAATTTGGGTCAACAAAGCGCTACACCCCTTAACCTTAAATTCCAAACAGAAAATAAGAAAGTTTGAAAATTCAAAAATTGAAAGAGTAAAGGATAAATAATAAAGACCAAGGGTCCGTTTGGTTTACAATCGGAATTGGAATCTAAATGGCTTACTCCTATAGTTTGTTTAATTCAGACAAGAATGGGAATGGGAATTGGAATTAGTAGGGATTGGGATTTCATTCCCAAGGGAGGGGTAGGGAATGGCCATTCCCTCAAATTGGGGAATGCCATTCTAGCAGGAATGGGAATGAGATTCTGATTTCACCCAACTAAATAGTTGGAATCGGAATAGCCCATTTTGATTCCAATTCTAGACCCCTATTCCTACGAACCAAATGGGGCCTAAATAGTAAAGGTTAAAGAATGAAAACTTCTAACAATACATAAAAAGTCACAATTAGACTTGATATTCGGGTTAGCGAGTTGACCCATGACCCAACCCGCTCAAATTAAAGTAGTTGGATATGAGACCCTAACCTTGTTTTTTTTTTCTTTTTTCAGGTTGGGTTAACTTTTTGCCAGGTCTACAACAGGGTTTGCCGAGGATCTCAAATATTGAACAACAAATAACAAAGGCTCATCAGACCATATTGGGGGCATTACAATTTACAATTCTATTAACCCAGATTAATTAATGGAAACTAAATAAATTATTTGACTTACAGTCACGGGTTAGTGGAGATCACATCAACGCCCCACAAACACCCCACATGCACATCTCAGTGTGCATTGGGAACATTTCCCACGTGGGAGATGTTCTCAATCAATGTTTTCAACCCGCCATTGACTTGGCTAGTCGAACCATTACCTGGCCAAGATTCTAGGTCTGGTTCAGTCAAGACTTGTCAGATGGTCGAAAATCATTGACTTGGTCAAGAACCGTTCGACCTGGTCGGTTCGATCGTTGACCTACTTGACCCAGTGATCAAGTCGTGAGTTGCATGCTCAATGCATACAAACTTTTGAAGGCATAACTTTGCACTTCGATGTCCAATTGGGGTATTTTTTTATTTTGGGTAACTTTTCAAGATTTATGCATCCCAAGGAGCCGTAAGCACCTTGCCCTGCTATTTTTGTGAGAAAACCCCCTTTTGGGCCTCAAATTGCAAATTTTAATATTTTTTATAAATAAAAATTAAAAACTGAACTAAAAAACATAAATTAAATATAAAATAATACATATATATCTAAAACATATTTATACATTATTTATTGCTAAAATATATATATTTATACACATATATATGTATATGTACAATGTTGTAGTATCTGAACTGTTCAACTTGGCCAGTTGAACCAATGACCCGTGTCCCTAAGGCAAAAACAGTTTGGCCTCCAGGTTGATTTATAAAAAAGTGTTCCCAATTAGGGGTGACCATGGGTCGGGTCGGGCTAGGCTTTGCCTTCATAACAACAGGCTTAGGCTAGGCCCTGGCCGGGCCAAGATTTCAGGCCCAATTATTGTATTTCAGTTCCAAAATTAAACAATTGTACTTTTTAACTTATTGTCGTAGAGACTATAGTAACCTGTAAGAAACTTTAAACTTAATATCAAGATAAAAGTTTCTAACATAAAAGAAATTAAATAATTATACCTTGTAATTTATAAGTTTCAATTGGTCATTAGTATGCCAAAAATGATAATTTTAACAGACCAATTCTTCTATTAACAAAAAATCAACCTATAACCTATAATATCTACAAAAAATACCCATCCATTGTCATGTTACTCATGTAATATCCACAAAACAATTGTAAACATCTATATAAGGTTTCATCTTCCATTCAACTCTTACAAATAAAAAGTGAAATATAAAAGATATTAGCAAACTAAGAAAGAATAGTTCAAATTAATGTTAATAAATAAGTAATAAAATATTGAAAATGGTTTCAATTTTACCCAAAAACTTGCAATCACTCTAAACTTCAGATTTATCTTCATCAATGGAGTCTTCATCACTAAAAGATTCGTCTTTTGGTGAGAGAGGGAGATTGGGCGTGGCGGTGGTTTTGTGAAATTGATGAGAAAGAGAGAGAGCCGAAAAGATTAGGGTTTAGTAATTTATATATTTCATTAAATACTAGATTAGAATTTGGTAAAATCTAAAACCGTAGAATTAAAATCTTTAATCTCTTACAAATCTCTATTTAATATATAAAACATCAATTATCAAATATTTTTAAATAACATATATATATATATATATATATATATATATATATAAAGATATATATTATTTATAAATATCCAGCTGGGCCGGGTCTTAACAAAAAAAACCTAGGCCCAAGCCCGGATAGGCCGGGATGAAATAATCACCCCTATTCCCAATATGCTGTGGGGCGCCCTCTGTGGGGGCGCAGATGTGAATTTGGATTTTAGCGAGATGATACGAGATTATCGTTGATTCTTTTTGTGACAGATACAGAGCCAGAGGCTCTCTCTTTCTCTCTCAAGTTGAAGACTCTCAAGTCTGAGTCGTCTCTTGGTTTCTGGATGCAATTTGTTGAAATGCATCATCCTCCCTCGAACCCTAACCCTTTAACACACCCTTACGGCCAGCTCTACACCGCCCAGGCCCAGCCTCCCTCCTATTCCCATTATCTTTACTACCCACACCATCCCCAAAATCCCAGCTTAGGAGCTCCTCAGACGGTTCTCAAACACCCTGAAATCCCTTCTACCCACTATGACCTTGGTCCCGAGCCAGGCCTTCGGCCACCTGGTATCGACTCTTATGCCGCCTTGAACCAGGCGTCGCAGGTGGGTACGCCGACTGACGCGGCGTATTATCCGGATACATGTGCCGCCGCCCAGAATTGGGCAGCAAAGGAGGCCGTTCGGCAGTTCGGGGCGGATCCTGTCGCTTATGCAGCGGTAAGTATTATTGTCTCGCTAGGATTTTATCCATATCTCTCTGTTGTAATTTTAGGAGTTTCTTCTTTCTAACTTTGGAGCGTTTCGGTTTTTGAGCTCGTTTTCTTGTGGGGTTGATGATTTAAAGATAATTTCGGGTTTCTTTTATTGTTATATGGTTTTCTTTCTTAATCTTATATGTTACATCGTGCGGGGTTTTAAGCTGCAGTTGTTGTTTTTGTTATAGACACTGGGATTTGTTTTTGTGATTTAAATGAATTGATGCTTAATTTTATGTAGTGATAATTTGACTGTAACAACTAGGTTGGGTCTTTGTAAATCCACACTATTTTTCTTGAGTTATTGTTAGTGCTATTGTCTTCTCACATGAAGCACTATTTCCTTCTTTAACTGTAAACTTTCCCTCATCTCCTTTTTTACGGGGCAGAATTGTTACCGATGAAATTTGTTTAGCTATTTGTTGTTATTCTCAATGTGTTCTCCCATGTTATGTTTTATTTTTATTAATATTGTTGGTTGTCTTTCTCAGAGTGTGTTTATGCGTGCTATTTATAACTATTGCTACCTTTTCTTTTGGGAAAGATCATAGTAAATGGTCATGTTTTTATGGATGCCTGATCAGTAACCTGAGACTGCATGCTGTTGGAGGGACCTTTATAGGTTACAATACATAGATTATGACATGTTGGAGATCTGTCAACTTTAATGTTAACCATACAAAAAAATCTCAACAAAGAAAAATAGCAAGATAAGTAGCAGAGAAGCACTCCAATATTACATGGTTTGGCCTAATGTCTGTAGGATAGATCAATCCACTCATTACCATGAAACAGAATAGAGAACCATAAAAGAATTCCAATGGTTTTTAAACCCAAAGCTAACCTTAGACCCCTGTTCACCCACTCTTACTTTCCTACCTCTCAAACTCCACAAAGAATAGATTCAGTAAAACCAAAGATGCCTAATTACCAGAAGCCAGTTCTTTTTGTCCTTCTCTTTGATCCTTTTGGAACCAATGATGCTTTAGTTGGTCTTAGTATCATGTGGCTAAGACATCATAAACTAATTTTCCCTACTCTGTCTCCAATTGATGCTACCCTTAAAATTCTTCCAGTACACTTATTTCTGCTTTTCTTGTTTCCCCTCCTAATTCTACTATTCTTCCATCACAACATTCTCAACTTTACTACATTAGTCAAAGGCTTTACAACCCTGTGCATCTCATTTGATGATTATATTTTCATGAAAACTAAATACTTTACACTGTAATTCTAATGTCTTACCTTAATGCTTATCCAAGTCAGCTGTTTCATATTGAGTAAACACAACTGATAGACATTGAATTCCTGCTTGCTAAGTCAGTCAGCTGTACAAACATAAGGGTTTGTACCTTGGAATATGGTGGTGATTTTACTTTTTCTCATACTGGTATGACCATAAAAATGAGTGCCAAGAAGGTAGTTTATTTCAGTTTATTCAATGCTAATTGAGCAGTCTTTTCTGCTATTTGGTTTCTCTTGCCTTGTAGCTCAACTTATCTGATGACTCGAGAGTTCTGGCTGGTGTTTGGAACTCAGTTTTTTCACAAAAAAACCAAGTCTTAACTTTTCTGGCTGCTTGTTAGGGGTGATCACGGTTTGGTTAACCGAACCATGAAGGTTTTTTAGAAACCGAACCGGTCCTAATGGTTTTTCCATATCTCCAAACCAAAACTGAACCAATACCACCGGTTGACTGGTTTCGATTTTTGACCAGTTCGGTTCTTTGGTTTTTTATATTTATAACATATATTATAGATAAATATATATAATATACATAATATATTATATCTTATAAATATAATATATGTATTTATTTATATAAATGTAATACATATATTTATATATAATATACATATAAATACATATACCGGTCGGTTCGGTTAACCATATTTTTTGGTTTGGTTCGGTTTTTGGGTTTTTTTATGAGCACCCCTACTGCTGCTTCAAGAAACGAGAAGAGTTAGTATGTCTAGTGTAAGTAGCAATGGAGGTTTGTATTTTTATGAAGGACTAGAAGAATTGCATATTTGTCTCTCTTTCATATAAAGTGATTCTGAGGGAAGTTTATGAGTTCACCTTACCTGGTTTGCCAGTAGACTGTACAGGCAGAGACACTGCAGGAATAGAAGAAGAGAGTCAGCGCAGTTTGGCTCTCATTAAACACGTCAAAGTTCCAATTCATTATCTGGTCCTTGATGAGGAGTTCCGGTCAACCACAGAATAGAAACCCATTGTCATTGGGTGCACTCTGCATTTGACCTTGAGATGGGGAGTGCTAGCAAAGTAAACCTATAGAGGAGAGGGAAGACATTTTATTGTCATAATTGCTGCTCATAGCTTTCTAAACAGAATGGAATGGTGACACAGGATTCACATAGCTGATCCCATATGGTTGGGACAAGGCTTGGATGACAATAATGATGAAACATGCAAAGTCTCTTTAGGCTTAATATGTAGAAGATAGAGAATGTACCTGTTGCAGTTTGTGTTTCTCATGTATTCCAATTTCCATATAGGAAATGAGTCCAGTTGTGCTCATCAATATTGGCAATGTTTTAGTTTTTCCTTGCACATGGGAAGCTTTTCTTTCCTTTCAGTACAAACTACCATTACTTATCAAAAGAAAACAAAGTGACAAATCAAAGGAAAATTATCTTCTCCAAAATTTAGAAAATGTTTAATGAATTTCATATTTACTATAAAAAATAATTTTAGAAAATGTGCACTCTTTTAGTCAAACTCCAGACACCCACTCCTTTATGATGAAGAACTATACCACCACATGGACGAACTGATTATTGATCTGCCTCAAGGATGATCTCTTGTAAGGTGTAGTCTCCACTATGCTGGAGGAATAATTACCTCAAAAATAATCAAGTGGAATCAAAATGTGATGAGAAACAACTATTAACCATAGTCAACAGATTATATTCTTTGTTGTTTTGGTAAACATAATATAACATGGAGGCTATTTCTGAAAAGCTAGATTTTAACAAAAAAAGAAAAAAAAAACACTAGTAAGCCTTAAAATTTGACAAGAAATACCATTTTTTTTTTGTAATAATGCAGTTTTGTTCACTAATAACTCTTAGACCTTGTACTGCTTTCTAATACAATAACTGATTGATTTTTTTTTTTTTTGATAGAGCTAGATTTTTTGAACAAACCTACTCATACTCCTAAGTTCAAAAGTGATCTCAGAATCTCAACTTAAATCATAATTCACTAGAATTTTCTGATAAAAAAGTCCCTGTTATCCAATTATTACAAGTGCAACTTGCATAAAGTTAGAGTTTTGTTACATTTGGCTTGCCTTTTATCTTCGAATCAATCTCCAAGTCTACCCCTGTCTATAAAATCTCTGAACAGGGAGACAGTAATGTCTGCAAATTCAACTCCTATGGAATGGCACAACTAAACTCATCTTTCAGTTAATTATGTGGCAAACAAGATCCTGAAGTAAACCAAGGTTGAGATGTGAGGTTTGCAAGACTAACTGCAATGGCAAGGAAGCCCTTGATTGTCATAAATAGGGAAACAAACATGAGGAATTTCAGGAAACAAGTACAGTATTGTAATATACTATCATAATACTCCCAACACTATTATAATACACAAAGGCTCAGGAACAATGGCTGATTCCATGAGGATGTGCACACTATGCAACTTTCTATGCTATAGTCAAGTGGTGTTCAATTTATGTCCTTCTAGTAAAAGTGTGCTGTTCAGGTGAATAAAAAGGTAGCCTAGTGCTGAATGTTGGCAATATGAGGACACTTGAAATAGAACTTAGAGATTTTGTAGTCATTGGTAGTTGTTTATACTATGGTTATAATTCAAGGTTCATTCAAACTATTTGAAGTTAACTACAGCAAACTTCTTTGGTGTTTCCACTCTAAAAAGTCAATTTTTGTTTTAGGCCATGAACATGTTATGTACCTTGTCCTTCTAGAGATCCTAAAAACTATTTCCTCGAAAGTATTAGAGTTTTGCCTTGGTTTCTTAATTAAAACCCCACTTGTTCATTTCTTCTCAGAGTGAAGTAGATGTTTGAGTGGCAGATACTTTACTGGATCTTTTCCCATCTTGAGGGTGATGTAGTTTAGCAAGTGGACTTATGTCCATTTAATGGTTGAAATTCCAATATATGGCAATGAATTATCTTTATGGGCAAATTGAGAAAAGAGATAAAACATGTCTTATAAAGTTAAATATTTGGGCATATGTACACCAACAGCCAAATTTCAGAACATGGAGTTTTCCTTCTGTGGTACTACATTTAGAGGTGCAACTTAGACTGGGTTGCATTGGGAATTTGTTAAATTTTCAATTGGCCCAGACCCGAACCTGAGTCCGATATATTCGAAGTTCTTCAAATTGGGCAACTCAACTTGCAGCCTGACTAGATTGGTGCTCCTTAGTGACAGAAATTTTTATTGGTACATTTTATTAGTACCTTACAAGTGTTTTTTGAAGTAACCATATCCATTTGTGGTCTATGACTATGTAATGAGCTGATGATGAAGTTCTCCCTCTATTCATCCAAATTGCAAATGTTAAAAACCTAAGCTTGTGTTAGAATTAGAAATAACAATTGATTAGAACTTTATGAGAGGTTGCAGCTGGGAAACAGACTAAGTGTGGGTGATATTGCCTAAAAGGAAACAGGAAGTTTATGATTATCCATGATGATTGAGCAGTGCTGCTCCAGTTGCATGGGTATTGTTATGATGAGTATGAATTTGATTCCTGATCCTACAAGGGAGGGAGGGGCTTTTTAATACTTGTCCTTCTAGATGTCTTTGTTGGTTTGGTGGATTGTTCTACGACAGTGGGTGTTTTTAATAATTGTGAAGCCATAAATTTTTTATTATTTTTTCCCCGACTTGTAACTTGTAGGGAAATTTACTGGTGAAAAAGGCTAGAGGTTATGGATAGCATCTATGTTTTTCAGTGTGCAATTGATCATGTGATTGGTTCAATTTATCTAGTGAAGTTTTTGTCATGGACCATCATGTAATCGAGAATCTATGCTATGGGAATGTACGGCTTCCATTTACACATTTACCCCTCTACTTTATGAAAAATTTGGCTTCTTTCCTGATGCCAATATGTTTAAATTTTTCTTATTTGCTATTTGACTGTTTATGCAGTAATTTGTTTAGGGAGTTGAAAATTCTACATTGTGCAGAAACAGAACTGCATCAGTCATCTTAGCTTTGTGCAGAATGTTTATTGAATTCTGTCCTCTTCTGTATTTTGTTGCATCATCAAATTACATTAATTTGTGCATTTGTGCATTTGTGTTTTTCTTTTCCTTATTTCCTTTTACCCTTTACATGATATTTTGAATTTCTGAATCTCTTGATCTTTAAGGGTGATATGTCGCAAACCATTAAAAATAGTAATTAATAATAAGAATAAAAGTGCCATGTTGCCATTTCCCAGCCCTCACTTGTGCATATTCATTTGTCGTGTTTTGGTAGCCCAGAAAATCAATCTAGCTTGGTTATCATGCAGGGTGGGATAAGACCTCCGGATCAATTGCTTATTGTAAATCCCAATCCTGCCAATTGGGGCAACTCAAATATCTGTCCACCCCTAAATGGTGGCTGGAAGAAAGGCTCGAAGAAAACAAAAATTGTACAATCTGCTTGGTGTGAGGTTTGCAAGATTGACTGTAACAGCAAGGATGTACTGTATCAACATAAACTGGGAAAGAAACACAGGAAGAACTTGGAGAAACTAGAAGCAGCAAAGAAAGATGTTAATGCTCCAGCAATTGCCCCAATGGCAAAGGATTCTGTTATAGGGCCAAAGGAAAACCTCACAGCAAATAAAGGCAAAAGTGTTCATGTGCAACAGACAAAAAAGAAGGCAGTCCCATCATCAACCTCTGGTGAGGACCTAGAGACAAAGAGGAGAAAGGTTGTGGAAGGTGGGGCAGCACCAGGTACTGTAAAGGTTTGCACAGTTTGCAATATGGTGTGCAACAGTCAAACAATTTTCAATTATCATGTAGCAGGACAAAAGCATATTACAAAGCTGAAGAAACATGCAACAACTAAAATAAGAGTTGCCTAAAGGAAGAACTGCCCCATGATACTATTTTCCCATTTTGGGGGGGTTTAATTGATTAGAAATATGGCGTGATCTCTTTTTTAAGGTGAAAGATAATATAATCTACTTTCTTTCTCTTTCCCCAAAATTTATTTGTAGAATGTTTTTTTTGTACAAGAATAGTGGTTGCCGATGATAAAAATTTGAGACTTTTTAGTGCCAAAGTAAAAAAAAAAAAATGAAAAAAAGAAATGGTCCATCTATTGTCTATATATTAAGTGTCAATGCTTCTATTACCCCAAAAAGCCTATTTGGCACAGATCCCATTGTTTCTTGGCCAGAGAGAGAGATGGTTTGTTCTTCAGTCAGTCATCCAATACCACCATCATTTGACCTAATGAAAATATGAAATCTCTGGTGGGCTCATTTTAGTTTTTTTAACTTTCATTGTAATGGGCCCATTTTTGTTTATGGAGTGCTTTTTCCCCGGTTTGTAGGTTGCAAATCACGGGTTCAGATGTAGTAGGCACGTTAGGTAAGCACAATGAGTGAGTACGTAATAACTGTGTGACACATGTCCTAGTTAATGTGCTTTTTATCCAAATGCTTTTATTCCGTTAGATAGAAATTATCCATTATTTTATTATCTTTGTCAATAATTAAAAATAACAATAAAAAAAAGAAAACGTAAATGAGTCCCAAATTCTAATACGTTTAGGTTTTTCTTTTTTATTATTTTTCTTTTTAATTATTTTAAAAAGATAATAAAATAATGAATAACTTTTGTCTAACGAAATAAAAACGTTTGGATGAAAGATGCATTAACTAGGACATGTGTCACACAATCACTACGTGCTCACTCATTGCACTAATCCAGATTCGGGTTTGACACATGAGACGAGATCACCAAAGCCATAAGCCCGGAGTCGGGTTATTTTCCAATACCCGGCACAGGTGGGTCCTGCTCTGGGTCTGTACTGTGGCAGATCAGGACCGTTGATATGCAAATGCAACCACATTTTGCACTTGATTCCTTAGATAGCAATTTTGTGAAACACGTTACGGAGATATGATATGGTATGGGCTCCCCTCTCCCCTGTCCCCACCCACCCATGTATCTGACAATGCTGAATTTCTCACTCCGAAACGATCGCCGAGGAATTCGGGGTTCCCGTTGCATCCATCCATCCATGTCCCCTCCCGAGACCCACCCCTCATGTTGCGGCGAATGTATTGCCTTGCTTGATACCTTTTCTACTCTTACTTATATGATGTGATTGATTGGATGTTTTGAAAATTGAAGTCGACGTTTTATTTTATTTTCTTTTCTTTTCCTTTTCTAATCTTTTTTATCGATCCATCGAAAATTCGGAACCACTAAAATTAAATTAAGGGTAAATTTTTTAAACTATACTTTGGTTTAGTTAATTGATTAAATGTATCTTTACTCTTTAAAAATTATCTAATACTATCTCTAATATTTATGATAATTGATTAATTTTACCCTTCTAGTTAAGGTCCGTTTAACATTCCATTAAAACTCATTCGCATGTGACATATACGTTTTTTAAAATCCAGTTTTATCTTCCACCTCTCTTCTCTTCTTTCTCTTTTCCCCCTTTTCTTTACTGTTGGGTTCAGGCACAAAGTAACAGGACATAAGAATCAGTTCATGCTGAAAGGAAGAGGAGTCTCATCAAAGGAGGGTTTCACCGTGATATTCGTCTTGTTGAAGCTATCCGAAGTTCCGAACGCTGGTGATCTATATTCGTATTATCACGCAAGGGGTGGTACTCGATCGGACTTGCTCTTGAAGAAGGAAAATGTGTCGTGAACAAGTTGGTCGGTTTGACTGAAGACTCCTCCCATCGTCGGTAGATTTATAGAGTTTTGGAATCGCCTGCAAAAACTAGATCGAAGACAATCGTATTGTAGTGGTCTTGTTGTAGGGTTCGTCTTCGAGCTCTGTATTTTCTAAGCTACAGGCGTCTAAACGCCATTGCCAAACGGGAGGAGTTCTTAATTTGATTTAAGGGCAAAATGAACATTTTATCCCTTTCGTCAATGTTTTAACGACAATGATAATTTTCAAAAACAGTAGGGTAGCGTTAGTCAATTTTCAAACATTAAGAGTATATTTAGTCAATTAACTAAAACATAAGCATAGTTTAAGAAATTTACTCTTAAATTAAAAGAAAAATTCCCTATAGGTACTTTGTACTTTAGACTAAGTGTCAATTTAGTATTCGAACTTTCATTTTGTGACAATCTAGTACGTGGCGTTAACTCACCATAAAGTGTCATGGGAAAAGACACAAATGCTCCTTAAGTTTCATCTAATTTTCTATTGTTCACCGCCACTGTTCATTGTCTCCTTCGTTGAACACCACCACTATTCCTTGCCACAGAAGAGAAAACCAGAGAAAGAAAACCAATGTTCATAGAGTCAGAACTAAATAAAAGTTCACTGCCATTGTTCCAGTCTATGAACATTGTTTAATGCCACTGTTCCCTGCCATTGTGCATCTGCTACCACCAGATTCAGGGGATGGAATTCTTGCGGTTTTAAATCCAAAATTGATAGTGGAATCAAAATCCTTGTGGTTTTAGTGACATGTAAGGACTCCAGAGTTTCAGCTCTCAATCTTAGTTCTATCTCGTTAGCCTCTGATTTTAAGTTTGTTGCTTCGACTCTCTTGAGCTTGGAGCATTTGGAGTCGGTGCTAAAGCGTATGAATCTTACTGAGAACCTTTCATCGGCTTCGGGTTCTCGGTGTAGTGAGATGTTGAGTGAGCTGGATTTGGCAAAGAACGATTTGTCTGGTTTTGTTTCAGACATTTCGCATTTGTCTTTGTGTTTGAAGGGATTCGCTGGGTCCTTTGAATGGAAGGAATGATGGAGTTTGGTTCTAGAATGAGACATCATGAAATTCATCTGCTTGTACCTTTGCAAAGCTACAGAGAGAGAGAGAGAGAAATACAAAGAGATATGAAGATGGGACTTGCAAGTGCAACTCCGCTTGCATCTGCTGCCACCGGAATGTAAGAGTGTTGAAGTAAAGAGGTCACTAACAGACAAAGAGCAACAGAGCAATAGAGACGAGGAAAGCAAGAGCGTCCGGCGATGAAGATCACGATAACAACACGTGTGTGTTGTCCATTAGACGGACAATCTTTAACTCTTTATCCTGGTGGCCAGCGGTGAGCCATTTGGATTATGTTTCATTTTTCTAAGAAAGAAGATAAATAGTATATTTTCTAAGGGTAATTTTGACATTTTTTAAATTCTTAAATCACACATGAGGTCACATGATATACATAATTAATGGTCCATTAAGAGTAGGTACTAGATTGTCGTAAAATAAAAGTTTAGATACTAGATTGTGGCATTTTAAAGTTGGGGTATTAAATTGACACTCGACCAAAAGTACAGGATACTTTTCCTAAATTAAATTATTATCGCCACGTGTTTCAATTTGGTCCCATCTAATTTTTGTTGAGCAGTACATCCTGAGTGAAAAGACAGAAAATACCCTTTTATAACAGCATGGAGATATTGGAGACATTGAAGGATATTTTTGTCCTTCAAAAGTGGATATTTATGGAATTTCCGTATTAAAAGAAATGGGGATATTGGGAAGTGATATGCCCAGCTTTAATTGGAAAAGAAAAAGCGTGAGAGAGTTTTGATGGTGAGGTTACGATTACGATGGAAGCAACCTCGATGACCGTGCAACTGCCTTTCATTTCAGTTGCAGAGGTGGAAAAATCCCAAATAAAAAAGGGGCGAATGGGATGGATAATCTGATCTGCGCCCAAGATATCAATCATATCATGCCACTGTGTGCTCAGAAAGAAGAGTGAGTCCCCCTCTTTTTTTTTCCAAAAAGAAAATTGTATGAATATTGATATTTAATGGTAATAGCAGCATCCAACGACGACGGACAGAGAGCAAAGATGCTGAGAAGACAAAAGGCTGCTCACGCTAGTGCCACACACAAACGTAAAAATAATGCAAAGATATTACCATCTAATGGGTGGTACTTGCCTACTTGCTGGTGGTAGTGGGCGGAGAATTAATGTCACCACCAAAAGTAAGATATGATTCTAATTCCTTATTATTTTGTTTCTCCACCACCTCGGTTTACCCCAAGTCTCATATATCTACTACATATAAAAAAAACTTTTAGGTATTTATTGGAATTTAGATTGCTCTGATGCTCCATTTAGACTGAACCAAATTAAAATTTTCATAAATTAAGCTTGAATATTTCATGATCAATACCTAGCTTGATTTGTGTCTACCCCTATTCCTCCAACAACACAATTAACGTTTATTTTATAATTAGAGAAATAACTACACCCATCCAATTGGTTTAGTGTAGACTAGGATGATAAAATTACTAGTACACTCTAAGTGGAAAAGAGTGGTTGTTTTGACCTTTAATACACAAAGGGAGAACATGGCTCCTATGAAACGAGAGCAGCTAAGAAGTTTAAACTCAAACTTGATGCTCAATTTGGAAGGAATACAAATACAAATATGTAGGGTGCAAAACAAAATATTTTGTATGTATTTGCACCTTACATATTTGTGTTTGTACTTTTTCCTAATTGAGCCTAAAGTTCAGTTTGGAAGGAGTACAAATACAAATATGTAGAGTGCAAAACTATGTATTTTGTATATATTTGTATTTGTACTCCTTCCGAACTGAGTCTAAGGCTTAGTTTGGAAGGAGTATAAATGTAAATATGTAGAGTGCAAAACCTTATATTTTGTATTATTTTTTATGTATTTGCACTGTACATTTTTGTATTTGTACTGTTTCCAAAAGTCTCACTTTGGTAAGAGTACAAATATAAATATGTACAACGCAAATACATACAAAATATAAGGTTTTGCACTCTACATATTTGTCTTTGTACTCCTTCCAAACTAAGTCTTATGTTTTGTATGTATTTGTGTTGTACATATTTGTATTTGTACTCTTTCCAAACTGAGCCTAAGACATAAGTTGAACAATTATTGGCTGCCGAGTTTATGCATACCTAAAATAATCCGGAAATAAGTAAAGGTCATAATATAAGAGAAGTTGTTGATAACCCAATAGTTGAGATGGTTATTTGGCATAGATCCCTCTCGAGGCGTGGGATTAGAACTGCATAACTACAAGCACTCTTGTGGAAAGGTGAGTAGATTTCATTTGCACCCTGCTTTATCCCCTTCCTTTAATCCGCCAATAATAACAACAAAATTTGGAGGGTGTTTGATTGGTCAAAGATTGTGTTAATTAATTAATAACAGTAAGGCCTTTGTTAATTAATTAATTATTTGTAGAAGTTATAATACATACAATCATGCATACATGCATTTCTATCTTCTTCTCCTCCTTCAATTAGGTGACGAGAACTCTAGAAGCAAAAATTCTGAAAAAAAACATATAAACACTCACAGGCATCCAGTCACACATTGGAAACGTCTCTCCATGAATTTATGCTGGGATTGGTTCGAAGGAAAAAGTAAGGAAAGGAAGGAAAGGATAAGGAAATCTTTACAAACCTTGTATAGGTTTTCCCTACCTTTTCCTTCAAACCAAACATAGCCTCAACATACAAGCAAGGGAGCGAGATGCCATGTTTATAGAGTTTTTGCTTTGAGGAGACCTGTACTCTACAGTTAGATGGCATCTTCAGCCAAATATATGGTTAACTGGCACTTCTGGTCCCAGTCTTTCTAACATTTTTTTTTTTTTTTATATGGGCTGAATGGTTCGTTCACAACTGTTGGCAGAACTATCTATTAACTAGAAAAACACACCGGATTTTGCATCAGGTATGGTTCAAACTTCAAACCACATTACCCAAGATCCGTATCCTACTTTCAGGAACCTAATTGGCCACCATTTCCGTTCCAATTAAACTATTACTTATTCATAAACAATTCCCTATTATAGCGCCATGCAATGCGTTAAATGATGACCCATCTACTACTTTAATTATATGCTTCTCCAATACTGCACTCCATCTTCTCATGGGTACGTACGTAAAGCGTGGTAATATAACATACAATCCAAGTAGCCATAAATTTCAAATAACTTCTTTTCACAACTAATTAAGTAATGAACTTAAAAAAGTAAGTCACCGAAAGTTTCTCCAATTTTTATATAGCCAAGATGCCATAACATAATCAAGCACTAGTATTGAATATTGGATGCTTGAAAGTCTGAAATCATTCCACAAGCAGTAACTATTGAAGTATCAAACAAATACAAACAATTGAACAAGTATCACGAGAGGACAAAAAAATGGGAGTTGCAACATGACAAAAGATGTTTAGTTTGGAGAATCACCAAAGACACTATGTACACATACATGCATCAAAGCCATTTGAGTAATAATGAATGGAAAATGGAAATGGAATATATTGGTAGAGTAGACCTCACTGATGATCAAGATAAGGTAGGCCAAGAGCACTAACAATGATGGAATGACAATAAAAGAAACAAGCATACAATTATAGTAGTAAAAACATCTCAACAAACACATTGTTCTATGATCACGTCAATGTGTCCTGACCAACCAAATTCGAATTTTACCAATCTGTCATCATTAGATTTAATGCATGCGGATGACGATGGGTCATGATTCTCCAAGGTAGCTTCTTCTGAGTTTCTACTTAAAACAACAACAAAGTTCCAATCGATCGACTGGCTGTCAGCTTCTCAAATGAGCGAGACGACAGAGAGTTGAGATCGATCAAATTAATACATGGCCACCAGACTAAAAAGGTGGCTCATCACCCAGTCCCCACCTCTTGCAGAATAAGTCCCAACCACCCGATGTCTGACTGTGGTGGTAGTATTCACATAAAACTCAAGGGTTCTGACTCAGTTTTTCAATGATCACGTTCATCTAATGTTACAGCAGCAGCAGATCATCATCTCTCCTCTTCCTCTACAGAGAGTTCACAAAACCCACAAAGTGCAATTGCATGGTTGAGGACGTAAGTGATCTCCCTTTTTGGTGAACGACCCAAATCACTGAATCTGTCTTCTGATTATGTGAAAGATCACGGGGTTATTAAAACCACTGTATCATCTCCACGGCCACGGCCACTTTTCGTGTAATGTTATCTCTACCTCCTTATCTCCTTGGTGTGTGATATCCTTAAAAGAGGAAGCTTCAATGACCCCGATCCTGCTGCACGTGCACCATGTCTCTGCACAGTGCTATAGTCATGGTATATCTGCTATATATCACTTAATATGGTGGGCTTTATTGATTCTTGTTAATTCAATTAAATTAGTTGGGTGTTATCTCCCGTTTCTTTTGGTTAAACATAACCTGCAGCAGAAGCAATTTCAGAGAAGTTGATGAGCTCAGTGTACCATCGCTTCGCTATTGGCCTATTGTCATCTGCTACGCATTCCAGCAGGCACAATATCACCAAGGAGCCCTTCGTCGGTCGAAGGCTGTGGGTGTGGGGTTGGTTCTCGCGGCATTTGGGGCTGTGTTCCTCGGTGAGGTTGCGTGACATCAATCCCACCTCCCAGAGGAAGCTGAACTCGAGGATAATATAACTGCGGCGCAGAATCGTTGAGCCTCGATGCCAAGGCGGCCTCATGTGCCATGGCGCTGCTTCGTGGGAAGCCCACGGTGTGGTGACAATGCTGGCCTTCGTATGTTGTGATTACAATAGTCGGATCTTCGGAAGAGCGTTCCACCCTTTTTTTCACTGTGCATTTGCTATTTGTACAGCGATAGTAGCTCCTGTAATTAAAGTATAAAACAAATGTATCACACGTCTTTTTTTTTCCAACCATTTATATATTAATTTTCCACTTATTCTTGTTCGCTCTCCCTCTGTCACACAGACTGATAACAGATTATTTCAAGACAATTGAGAGTGGAAAACTCAGTTTTTATGGATAATTAAGGGACTTGTTGCACGTTTTGTGAGTTGTGCCATTATCGCTCTTCTGAACCTTTCATATGTAGGATTAACACAAGCAGAACGCCATATTCTTTTGAAAATTTGGCTGTATTATCAGTCTCTGCTTACAAAGATTGTGTTTGTTTAGAAAAAGAAAAAACAAAATGTTTTCCGTAAAAAAGGGTGAAAAATCATCCAAATTACATTTTGAATTAAAAACCTTTCTGCTCCTTTCATGTTCATGGTCATGTTCATGGTGAAACAAATGGAGATACAAGGGAAAAAAAAGGAGGGAATAACCAAGGTAGCAAGAGTCAAGAGAGGATAATCTATGAAGACTGTTCATCAGTGTTCACATATAAGAAATTTAGAATAAAAATGTACTAATTAAAATAAACTAAGAGAAGGGGGTTGGGAATATAGAATCAATTTGATATATGAGAGTCAAGGCAGGTACTAACCTAGGGAAAGGGCTGTTCTTGACTGCTTTCTGCCCATATTTCCGCCACCGGTAACCATCTTCAAGATGATCGATTTCGCTTTTAGTCATGAACGCAAAGCGTGGTTGTCTAGTCCGCTTTTGCCCCTTCTTTCTGTTCTTACTCCTGCACATCATTTTGCCTACAGATGTCAAATTAAAAAAGCACAAACCTGAAATGGAAAGAAAAAGGTTTCATGGAATATAGGCATCTCCTAACTGGTGCCTGTTAATTTGGAATATGCATTATGTTCACGAAAGCAAATAAACAAGAATTTTCCTAATTCCTACAAGTAACAAATATGGGCAATGCAATAAAGAACCAAAAGAAATTTTGAGGAAACAAATTCTTCTTCTTGAAAATGGTGTTCCGTTTTTTTTTTAGGAAAAACAAAATCTTAACACAGAAAGATGCTAAACAAGAGTTTTCTGCTTTCTCACTGGTTCAATTGTATTGGAATTTAGTTGTATTTTTAATTTCCATATTGTCAAACCAATAAAAATTTAAACGATAATCTTGTAAAAATACTGGACAAAATTTCTTTTGATATGGGCTAGTATTCCGCCTGTAACATTACGAAATACTCGTCAAATACAAGCCACAACTGGGATTACTTACTGGTGGGTATCCGTCTCCAGAGAAGATTCAATGCAAGAAGAATGAAGGTCGTTAAATAAAAAATAGCTCAAGTTCCACACCCAATAATTCTAAACTAAAAATGGGGACCAAACCACGTTAATTCTTTCATTAGGTTCTTGAAGCTCAGAACAACAGATGCAAGAAAGAAGAGAAAGTTCAAGCTCAGAGTTCATATGAAAGAAAGAAATGAGAGAGAGAAAAAACTCTAAAATTTTATGAAAATGGGTTTTTAATTTTCTACTTTTACTTCTCTATATTTTACTATCGAAAAAAAGAAGGAAAAAGAAAAGGATGGAAGATGTAAAGGCCGAAGGGTGCTTGTCAAGAAAATGGCGGAAAGTTAGAAAATATCGCAATTCCCGCCGCAACAACGGTTGGGTAGGAAATCGTAAAATATTGCAAAAAAGGTCATTGATTTTAGAGAAATTTCCCTTTTCAACCCTTTCATTTTTTTGTAAATGACTAAAAAACCCGTCCACAGCCCACATGTATGAACTATGAACTACGAAGACTGTTCTTTTGCTGAGGTTTCTACATTCTAGAGGCATGAATCGGGATTAACGCTAAAACAAACAAGTTCCGTTTAAATCTTTTAATTTTTTTTCGCAGAATTATTGACAACGAAGACGCCTGCAAGTTGGCCGTCAAGAGATTAGCTTATTACGATTCTGCCCCTGGAGAAAACGAAACGCAGTTGAAAGTTGAAACCCCGGATATCACAGAAAATCACTCACGGTATCTCAGGCTGTTTGGCGTCAGATGTTGTCGACTTCTCCTGCGGCTCGTCGCTCGAGCTAGATGACACCGACGGATTCGACGGCGAGGCGTCGCCGGGCTTATCGACCAGTCCCGCCGAAACCGTTGGGTTAAGATTACTTGGTGCAAGAGGAGGAGGAGGAGGAGTTTGTGGTAACAGAAAGGCAGATGTTCCCGCCAAATCGGAGCCATCGTCTAAACCGATCTGATGGAAGGGCGAAAAGCTGTCTTTCTCGCGATTCCTGTCTGTATCAGAGCGCAAGTTCCACCCAAATTCGCTTAATATACTGCTTTCTCGATCGTTGCCGAAGAAGTAGTCGCTGTCGGCCTCGCTACCAAGTGTCCAACCAGAACTGCAGGCAAAATCGGTTCCTAGTCGCGGTTTCGTCTCATCGTCGCCCATGCCGGAGCCGGAATTTTGGCGGAGACTTGTTGCGAGATGTAAGAATCTGAGGTTTGCCGCTAAAATCGAGTGTGAAGCTGAGCCAGACTCGAAGTCGAGAGAAGAGAGGAAGAACGAGGGAGGTGTGGGGGGAAGACTGGAGAGAGAGAGAAGTGTTAGGGTTTAGGAAGGTTGCTTTTGTGCTTTCTTTTCTTGTTATTTTATTTTTCTTTAATTGGGGGTTGGGGTTATTTTTATTTAAAATTAAAATTTCAGTTGGGACTTGGGAATGGAAAGGACGCGTAATTTTTGAACTTTATAGAGGAGGCTTTTGAAAGCTTTGTCCCGTCAATGCAAACAACACGCAGAAGCGGGAGGCAGAAGAAAAAGATAACTTTCATAATTATTATAATAATAGTAAAAATAGACAAGAAGAAAAAAAGTCGCCGTCAACTCAATTTGTAAGTCGCAAGACTTTTGCCGATATTTATCTTAACTGTAGCTTTCTGGATCTCCTTTGCTTGTTTGTCTTTGGGGGGGAGCGGGGTGAAGTAGTGTAGTGTGTAGAGAGAGTGTAGAGTTGGGCCCAATTGAGTGGTGTACGTAGATGTGTACATGCAATAGTACAAGCTAATTTTACATATAGCCAGCGCCCACTGCTAGCTAACTAGCTAATTAAGTGAGGTGGACCGGATTATTATTTAATTTTTAGTTTATGGACCACCCACAGACTACGGGCCACAGCATCTAGACTTTGTTTCTTGGGTTGAGTTGAGACTTGAGAGGCCTAAATGGAGGGTGAGAGGGTGACTACAGTCTCTACAGCAGTCAGCAGAAGAAAGCTGGAGGTGTTTCTTTAATAGTAATAGACACCCATGCTAATGCCATGGCGATAACTTCAAGCTTTATTCACGTAGGGAGCAGAATTGCAGAAACACTGACCAAACCAAATGAAATCTAACTTGGAAGTAGGTAATAGTGGGGCCTCCATGTTCCAATTCAACGACCAGGATTCAAGTTATGATTCAGACACCGCGTACACTGTACACAAAGAATGACGCGGTTGCCACTTCTTAATACAAACAACACCCATTTGGATTACCATTTATCATATTCATATCATACCTCTCTTGTGGCTTGTACACAAGATCGATTGCCGTCTCGCCGACGCCGAGTATTTGGCGTGGTTTGACCCATTAAAAAAAAAAAAAGGTTGGATCAGATCAGATGACCGGAGTCCGGAAGCCAGTCGGCGCGGCAAGGCGCTGTGACTCGGGAGAGTGGAGGAGAGTCTGGAGACTATTGCTTAACCACCCGACCAAAGGTGCATGGATAGATACCGAATCTTTTTTATTTATTGCTTAACTTGGCCTTCACGCAATCACGGCTTTTTTCTCTTCATTTTCTTTTCTCTTTTTTTTCCTAATAAATTATAATAATTATATTTATATATAGAGAGAGAGAGAGGTGGTGCTGCGGGCACGGAAAGACACGGTGCCGCGATGTCACGCACAGTGCAGTGACTCGAGTCTGGTACGGGTACGTCGTTGCTTCACACTTGTTCCTCCTAGGTCGCAATCCTGTACACCTTGTACGAAGGTATCAGTTTTACTGACAAATAACGACAACATAACTGGGAGAGCTAACGCCGTAACCCATGGTTTACTCTAAGAAGGGCTGTCAGTAACGCGGAATGATTCCTTTGTATGATGTCGGCCGTCTAGTAACTGCTAACTGTTAACGGTTTTAATATTATTCCTTTTCCTCTCTCTCCTCTCTCCTACAGTCCTACTTGGGTCGCGTACGTTGTTTCTTTTCATTGTTAAGGAGAAGCAGGGTGCTAACTGTTAGCGGTCCCCCCGCCCCCGAACCATACATGCCCATTATTGGGGAGGAGAGCAGAGCAGATCCGATCTCGACCCAGCGATACCAACCGCTGAGATTAACGCGTTGGATTAGATTGTAACGAGTTTGTAGGCGTGGGGCCCCCTGCTATAGGATGACGACGTCTCTTTGGTTTGGTACCACTCTCATGGGTCCCACTTCATCCAGAAGTTCCCCTAAACTTGATGGCTACGTTATCTATGCATGACTATGACTACCTACGACCATCTCTCTCGCTCCGCCTGTCTTGCGTAAATATACGAGCGTAGCTCTGTCATTCTCTAGACGTCTACGTTTTCTTCGTACAAATAGAAATAGCAGGAGACGGAAAACTACCGATCCGATGGACCTTTGACTTTTAACTAGATCTTCTTCGGAGAAAGATTGTTCAGCCCATCTTACAATTCTTAGCACTACCGTACAGTAGATGAATCTAACGCTGAATTGATGCTAAATCCACGGATAGGATACTGTTTATAAAAGGGTTATTAATAAATTATAGGAGGCTGTAATTTCAGAATTCTGGGCGTATTTCTCCAATCTTCAGGTCCCACTCCCACACCATGAAATGTATGGCCTCGTGTCCCTGTCGTTGGTTTGTTTTAATTTAATTTTGCTGTGATTGTGCAATAATACTTAATGGATGCATTAATTCGCCGATCAAGGATCCAGTTATATTCCTATAAAGAAAATACAAGTTGAATTCCACTGCGTTTTCTCGACGATTTCAACATTTGGGAGGTTATTCATTTGAATTCCATGGAATTGGGATGGAAAAGATACATCTTTATGTGTACCGCCCGATGATACAAACCTATAAATATTCTGTTATCTTTGCATATCAACAGTTTAAAACGGTTTGAAGAACCTTTGTGGAGTACAAAGTTTATTGTTGGAGAATGCTTTATTACGAGCATTTTTTTATACAAAAAAAGAGGAGAAACCTAGTACAAATAAAGTCTAAATCTGAAGGAAGTCCGAAGTCTAGAGGTGTAAATAGGGCCGTGTTGTTTGTGGCTGGTACGATCCAGTCCGAATTTGGACCGGCCTGATATGGTAAAGCATGATGGCACGATGGTTCGGGCCGTGTTGGGCCTGGGGTTCCAAGTCCACGGGCCAGTATGGCATGGCCTACAAGCCCATAACGGGCCACACTCAGCCCCCCCAAGTACACGATTATTTTCAGCTTTTTGGGGGCTTTTTATAGAAATACCCCCCAACAGCTATATAGGAGGGGTATTTATGTATTTTGGTTTTGGAGGGAGAAAGAATGACATAAATGCCCACCAATAGCTATATAACAACTAGTTTGGAGGGCATTTTGGGTAAAGTGATAAATAACTTTATAATGACCAAAAAACCCCTCACAACAACTAAAAAATGGGTAGTTTTAGGGTATTTTGGGCAATTGAATTATTTTCAATTCCTATAAATAGCCCTATCATTCACCATTCTCATCACACCAATTTGACAATTCTCTTAATCTCTTCTTTAATTCTCATACTTTCTCAAATCTCAATATTTCAATCTCTCATACATTCTCCGATTCTCCAATTCTCAACTTTATTGAAGTTTCAACAAGAAGGCTTGCTAAATAGCTCAAGTATCTCAAATTGGCAATTTGGGAGGCTTTAAACTCTTGGAGTTGAAAGGATTCAACCGATGAAATCAAGTGGGGATTTTGAACCGGTAATCCGGATAAGTGCAATTAAATTAATTTTTATTTTTTTAGAATTTAGAAAAAAATGATTTGCTCCTCTTGAAACCAATTCCCCAACATGTTCAATGTCGACGATATTCAGTTGCAGCATGGTAGTGTTAGCACCAATATGGATGCTATTGATGTTGATGGAAATTCCACCCGTAATATTGATATTAGGGGAAAGAAAAAAACACCACTAAATTGATTAGCCCGGTTGGAAAAACATTTAAAGTATTGGAGGTTCAGGGGAAGGGAAAAATAGTTGTTTGCCAAAAATGTAGAAAAGACTTTAGCTATTGTAGCAAGGGTGGTACTGGCCATTTGGGCAAACATTTGCTCACCCATGAGAAAGAAGAAAAAGGGAGAGAAACAACACAAACACAAATTAGGCGGGGGGGTTGGTACTTTTAAATATTCTTAAGAAAAAATGAGGCAAGATTAGCAAAATATATTGTAGATGTTGAACAACCATTTTTGTTAGCTAAAGATACTAAACTTGAAAAATGGTTATGTAATTCTATAAATCCACAATTTAAAAAAGTTTCTAGGAATACTATTAGATCATATCCTTTAAAAATTTTGCATTCATATAAACAAAATTTAATTTATATGTTATCAAATCTTAATTCTAAAGTTATAATTACTTCTGATATTTAGACTTCTAAATTTAACATAAGTTATATTTGTGTTGTGAGTCATTTTATTGATGAAAATTGACTTTTAAATAAAAGAATTTTACTAGGCTTGAATGGCCACATACTGGCTTAGCTATTGCTGCAAGTATTTTAAATACTTTACATGCTTATGGAATTGACAATAAATTATTTTCTATTAGTTTTGATAATGCTAGTAATAATGATTCAGAAATAAATATTTTAAAATCTCAATTAAAATCATTCTTAAATGGTAAATTATTTTATATCAGATGTGCATGTCACATCTTACATTTATGTATTTAGGATGCTTTAAATATTATTTCTACTCATATTTCTAAAATTAGAAACCGTATTATATATATACTAAAAGTTCTAGAGCAAGAAAACAATAATTTAAATATTTATGTCAAAATTATGGTTTAAAATATAAACATTTTATATTAGATGTTAAACATAGATGGAATTCTATCTATGCTATGTTAGAAAGTCGTATTTCTCACAAACAAATTCTTAGTGATTTTTATAATGCAAAAATGCCTACTTATATTATATTTGCGGAAGACTTGAAAATGACAATTTGTATAAGAGATTTTTTAAAACATTTTTATGATGCAACTAATGAATTATCGGGCATTTATTATCCAAGTATTTGTAATTTAGCTTATCAATTAATGATAATTAGTGATTGTTTTGCAAAATATGAAAAGAATCCACAATTTAAAAGTATTGTTAAATAATGGAAAATAAATTTAAAAAATATTGGGAGAACATTTCTACTCTTTAGTACTTAACTACAATATTAAATCCTAGTATTAGAAAACATGGTTTAGATATTTTACTTGAAATATCCCTGGGGAGGGTGGCACGACAAAGGATGGCCCGTAAGCCGGCATGGCCCGTTTTACACCTATGTGAAGTCCAGAAACAAACATTATAAGCATGTTTTTAGAGAAGCAAATTAATGACATGGCAGATA